CCCCACCCAGCGGGCCCCAGGCTCCTCACCAGGCTGGTCGTCTCAGCCTGCAGGAAGACTGTCATGTCGGCCCATTCGTCCTCCATCTGTGTTGCCCCCCTGCCCCATCAGTCACGCAGTGCCCCAGATCCCCTCCCCAACCCTAAGCCTGTGTTCTGAGAGCTGCTCATAAGGTCCACCAGCCTTTTCCAAGGACGGCCCTACCTGGTGCATTCCTAGGGGAGCCCTACAACAGCTGACCTTTTCCTCTGTCTCCCTCCAGCCCTGGATGCCATCTTCACTGAGCTGGGCAGGATTGGTGGTAAGCAAGCCCCCTCTTTGCTCAGCACTGCCGTGATGCCACATAGCCTCTGGGGGACCTCTAGCCATCCTTGGCTGCTGGGGGTGGGTTTAGTTTCCAGCCTCAAAGACTGGGGGAGACGCTCCTGCCTCTTCACCACACTGTGTTCCCCCCACCTCACACCAAAGCAGGGGCGAGCTGGCTGCCCCCCAGATGTGCTGCCCAAAGGGCCTTGGGGAAGACTCACACTTCTCCCATGCCTCCCCAGCCCTCTCTGCGACCCCACTGAAAATCCAGGGGACCGAGGAGGGTATCCGGCTCTTCAGCAGGGTCAAGTACTACAACATGAGCTACATGAAAACCACCTGGTTCCACAAGTAGGTTGGCCTTGCCCTGGAGCCCTAGCCAGGCTGGAGGGGGCCCAGCACCCACCTCAGAGCCCAGTCCCAAGGGCTTGGCAGAGACAGGGTCTCTCACCGGTCCTGCTGTCCACAGAGGGAGTCTGGGACAGGGAACAGCTGTTAGAGGCACAGAAGGGAGGCTCCCCAGGAAAGGTGGGAACCCTGGCGCTAAGATCACTTTCCCAGAATATCCATGGCCAGAGAAGGACCATTGTCTTAGAGCGCCATCTGGGAACCGGGGGAGAGAAGGATTCAGGAACGATGGAGAACCAGATGGTCAAGTGCCCTTGTGGGTCTTTGCAGCCTTAGCAAACTCAGGCAGCCAGGCTGAGGGGAGAGGTGCAGGCAGAGGCACCTGGGGGGCTGACGACTAACTGAGGGCCAGGCCTTGAAGGCAGGATCAGGTATCAGAGACTCAGCCAGGAGCTAAGTGACCCCAGAGAGTTTGGGAGCAGAATTTTCCCAGTGCTTCTTACTTGCAAACCTCAGCCTTGTGGAGCAGACATTCCTGCACCCATTCTATGGAGAAGGCTAGACCGACTTAGTCGAATTGGTCATGTGAGTGAGACCAAGGCCAAGCTGAATTTCAGAACAGTGAAGCTCCTTCTCTAGAGTTTCTGAGCCCCGTGACTAAGCCCAGAGGTGTCACTTCTGTGACAAAACACTGACATGGGCCAGGTGTCTTTAGGAATGAAATTTAGGTAAAGAAGGAAAGGAGTTTATATAGTTTATAAGAATTACGTAAGAGTGATTGTGGGAAGAAATGCTGGGAGGTTTTAAGATGAGGAAAAGGATGAAGTGAGGAAGTGGCTCCCACTGGTGGGGTGTGGGGAGGTGGGCACTGACCCTGGGGCACCATTTCCTCAAAGTCCCAGCCTGCAGGACATGTCACAAATATAGACTCAGCGCTGCCACAAGGTTTGATGAATGAATGAATGATGAATGGATGAGTGGATAGATATATATCAAATATCTCACGGATGGTCACCACTTTCAGCTCACACATCTGGGAACAAAACCCCGGGAGAGGAGTTTGGGGCACGGATGCCTGTAGATGGGCAGACAGACAGCCCGTCCTGGACTGAGCTGTGTTAACCATTTCTTTGCCCTCACGTTCAGAGAGAAACGCCTGGAGAGTGGTGATCGGGTGAGGGCTGGCACCACCCTGGATGAGATCTGGCTCCACATCCTGGACCCCAAAGACTCAGACAAAGGCAAATACACCCTAGAGATAGCGGCCGGGAAGGAAGTCCGGCAGCTCTCAGCTGATCTCTCGGGGCAAGGTGAGCGCTCCGCCTGTCTGTCCTCATTGAAACCTGTTTAGAAAACCCCATGGTCTTTTGGGGGGGCTCCCATCTCCCCACCCAATCCTAGCACTGCCCCAAGAGAATGCTGGAACAGAGTGAAGGAACAGTCAGCGCTGAGCCCTATACCTGTGGGTTGCAGGAGAGGGGGAGATTGGGGGTAGATGCCCTGACACACCTTTTCCCCTTTTCCTTCTCGTAGCTTTTGAGGATGCCCTGGCTGAGCACCAGAGACTGAAGTAAGTTTCCTCGGCGTTTCTCAGTGTGATCAAGGCCCCTGGGGTGCACGAGCGCAGGACCCTTCCTGGGAGGCCGGACAGCTCCACCTTTCCCCCATCACCCCCTCCCCGCTACCCGGGCAGGACTGTCCTTTAACAAATGAAACACCAAGGCTTTCTCCCATTTCCGTTTTTCAGAGCCTTGGCCATCATCGAGAAGAGTAAGTCCAGCCATATTTCTGTTGTTTCCACTTCTGAGTTTGGGGCGGCTTCCCAGCTGCTCACGCCTCCTGGCAGGTAGCTGGAGTCCCAGTTTCCCATGGGGTCTGTGTGGCTCTGGGCCATCACAGAGCTGCTGGGAGACCCGGATGGTGGCAGCGTGAAGACAGGTGGATGAGGAGTCCGAGGATACCTGAGACCGTGGATGTGGACGCGCCTGGTGTGGGCCTGGTGGCAAGTAGGCACACGGCCGATGTCGGTGGGACTCCAAAGGCAGGGGCAGGCGGACCGAGGCACTGTCTTCCAAGCGAGGCCCGGAAGGGGGCGACTTTAAAGCTGAACCTGGTTCTGGCTGTCAGGGTCCTAGGGCCTCATCTAACCCAGGACACAGCCTCTGCGTTGCCCAGGGGGACCACCAGGTCCACGCGCTGGAGCTTCTCCATGTCCCCGCAACCAGTTCTAAAGCACCCAGTTCCAGGAGGCTGGCTTTCTGGTCTCAGTCAACTAGCCAGTCAGTGTAGCACCTTCCATGAGGGGAAGCCTCCTGGCAGCAGAGCAAAGCAGCCCTGTTCAACCTGACAGGGAGGAGGGAAACTGACCGTTTGGGGCCGTTGGTAGGAGGGGGCATGAGCCCTATGTGGCGTCTTATCCCTGAGTGTCCCCACTTGGCGGGAAGTGCAGGCCGTTCATAATTGCCATCTGGAAGGGGGCCATCTGGGGTCTAAGAGCAGTGAGGAGCCCTCGCAGCGGGTGGCCACCTTGGTGGGCGGAGCGCAGCCTGCAGACCCGACTCAGCCCGTCACACCTCCTAATCACCTGCCCACCCCCATCCTGGAACTCCCTGTGCTATGTGGTTGCTTCCCACTAGCTATCTATTTTACACTTGGTAGTGTATATAAGTCCATGCCACTCTCTCACTTCGTCCCAGCTTACCCTTCCCCCTCCCCGTGTCCTCAAGTCCATTC